GCAGGCGCCAAACCCTGCTACCCCTGCAGCTAAAGCTGCAGCAGCTAAAGCTGCAGCAGCTAAACCTGCTACTCCTGCAGCTAAACCAGCTGCCCCAGCAACAAAGGATGCAGCAGAGAGCAGCTCAGACTCTGAGAGTAGTGACAGTTCTGAAAATGAAGCAGCTAAACCTGCAGTCAAGAAACAAGCTCCAGCAGCAGCGGCCAAGAAACCCACTGCTGCTCCTGCAGACTCAAGTGATGACAGCTCCAGTGATGAAGAAGAACCTAAAAAAACAGCATTATTCCCCAAAACTGCAGCCAAAAAGGCAGCTGCAGCTCCGACAAAGAAGGCTGCAGAGAGCAGCTCAGACTCAGATAGCTCTGATTCTGAGACGGAGACGAAGTCCACCCCTGCCAAGCCGGCAGTCATCAGCGGCAAAGCAGCAAGACCTAAGGCAGCCAAGGTCCCGGCAAAACCAACAGCATCTTCATCCAGTGACAGTAGCTCTGAAGAGGAGGAGGCCAGTAAAAGTACTGTAAAACCTGCAACACCTGTTGCAGCAGCTAAACCAAAAAAAAGCAGCAGCAGCTCCTCCGACAGTTCTTCAGATGAGGAGGAATCGCCACCATCACATAAAGCAGTCACAGCACCCACAACCCCTGTAGCAAATGGTAAGTCTCAAGTACTAAATGTGATGTGGACAGTTAAATACACTCACCTTCCCTTTATGTGTAAACAGCACACTCAAACAGCCATTACTAGGAAAGGCATGCTTATGTGCCATGCCTTTATTGGCCCTTTTAAGTTGTGTAATTTCATGGATATTAGGTTTATAGAACACTTAGTGTGCACTGTTCTCCTTTAAAACAGTGACTGTTTCTTCTAATTCATGCAGGTGCTAAGAGAAAGAGAAAAAGAGATGAAGAATCACCAGAAAGCCAAAAGACAGAAGTCACACCAAAAAACAAGAAAGAAACAACAACTCCTCAGACTTTCCCTAAAGCCAATAAGAAGGTAAGACCTACAAGAGACTAGGAATTGGTCTTAAACCTGACACTCCAGTGCAGGGTTTCTACGGGTCCTTAGTCTAAAATCCAGGTCCTATGTTTTAAATACAATTTTAATTGGTCTTACAAGTTATTGATAATGTCACATTAACTTCAGTGATGCTTGCATGTGTTTTTGTGGAAAACGATGACTGTGGCATCGTCTGTGGTACACTGGCCCCACATTGTAGTTGTCTCATCAGTTCATATGCATCATGCTGTAATAAAGCTACAAAGCGAAACCAAATTAAAGCCCATTTTAGTTGCAAACATTGCAGCTCTGTTGGAACTTAACAGAATACTCCACCAGTACTTTGTGGCTGTTTTCTGTTATTCTCTTCTACCTAATAGGTCTCCAAGTGTCACATTTAACTTGAAACTTAAATATCGTGTCTTTCAGTCCAATGTACCGTTCCGTAGAATAAGAGAGGAAGAAGTAGAAGTGGATCCCCGTCTTGCAGACAACTCTTTTGATGCAAAGGTGAGTTTAGTAACTATGTCTCTCATTCTTCACAGCAGCACTGCACAGTAAGATCACTGGCAGAATAATTTACTGGCAAACATGTTCATGAGTCTTTGCAATTCCAGAATGGCTCTAGAGGAGACTGGGGCCAGAAAGCTAATGAGGCACTCAAGTTAACAAAAGGCAAGTCATTCCGCCATGAGAAGACAAAGAAGAAGAGGGGGAGCTACCGCGGCGGAGCCATCTCCACCACAGTCAACTCTATTAAGTTTGACAGTGAATGAGTACCTTCACTCTGAACTGTACTGTGCCTGTGTGACCAGAACTCAGTTGTCTGCTTCCTCCTGTATACAGTCCCTCTGTCATCTCCCCTCCAGCAGAAGAATGTGACCCAGAAAGCTAAGATGGCGTTCTCACTTACTTAGCTGCTCTGGGTTTGTAATGGCGTTCATTTGATTTCTGATTTAAAAGTTAGAGGAGCTGTGGCGGCAGGAGCGGAGATGTTCCAGCTTTGACTTCAGACTGTACTGGTTGACATTCATGTGACATTACTACTTATAGCCACTAGGTGGCTGCTGGCCACCTGTTAATGGTTGGGATCCTTCTTAGTGCGTTTTTGATTTTGTTAACACGAACATTGTGACAAATGTCCTGTCATTGTTTTTGTGAGAATCTTTCATTTATCTCTATATGAATCATCGTCCCAACTAGTTCTTTAAGAAGTTATGGAATTACTGATATCTTTAATCACAGTTTGGTTAGTTTTTCTTTGGCCACAGTAGAATGTGGAGATGGTGTATGCTTGGGCTTTTCCCTCTGATTACAGGATCATTTTCAAATATAACTAAGTTTTATACTGTGTATTTATTAAGTTGTATTCCTGTTTGACCTTAAGATCACATTATTCTCAAGGCATTTTTCTTCTGCATTAAGATGCCCCTGTCACCCCATCTCTATTCTGTTCACTGGAATTGAATTGATAATTTGAATTTACTGTACGAGCATGCGCCTTTTTAAAATGACCAATTCTTCAGTCTGCAATTAAAGACTTTACAGATAAAATGTTGGTGTGGCTGAAACAGATTTTTCAGGGGGCTTTAAATTCTTATCAAACACGCTTTCCATTTGTGTTCAGTTAAGCATAGGTAGAACCCCTAGAGCTGTGTTCACTCACATTGAGGAAGTTTGTTTTAATAAGCATCAACAAGCTGCTTTTGTAAATGGCTTACAGCATGCATGTCTGCAGTTAACTTATTAACGATCCTGGAAAATGTATGCATGTCATATTACAGCAGCTTGTTTTTCTTTTCCTTTCTAAAATTCCTAATCAAGTCTTTGGTGATCAAACACATTCTCAAGCAGTTAGAAAACAAGCTTTAACATCTCACCAAAGCCACTAGATGGCATTTACATATCACTGTGAGCTTGGTTGTAAATGTGAAACTACAGTAGGTGACCTGTTACCTCACTGATGTCATCATACAGTTTCAAAGGTGACTGTTATGTCCAGGAATTACACTTTGCCCATTCATGTCTTTTGTTTCCTGCTCTGGACTAAGTTATATGTGACAAATGTTCTATTCCATTACAGTTCAAACGATGCAGAAACAAGGTTTGTCAGGTGGAGTGATAATTGTAGTTTACTGGGAAAAAAGCAGCAGAGGCTGAGATATTGTTACGAAGGCTGGATCCCACACTTCCCAAATATCCAAGCCCGAGTACTAATAACCCTGATTACATCTAAGACTTATCACCTTTTAGAAAGCTCATCTACACCTACAGAAGACATTATACAGCTATTTTACTGGACTGGGGAGTATTTGGCTCAACCATGATAAGTGAACTGATATTCATGTGTACTTCTATTATCAACTACACATTAGTTTGCAAGCAATGCATTCCACTGTTATGTTGATGACACTCAGATGGTTCCCACAAAAACATGACAGCCAGCTTTGCCTCAGGGATAGCGAATCCCAGATGTCTCAGAACGTTTTACCGCACAGCAGTAAGTATGAAATTATTTTAACAGCTCCTGTCACTCCTTCCTCTTATAAAGTGTAGCTAGTTGTCGTTTAGTGTTGGCAGTAAAGCCTGGTAGTTCTTGACAGTGACAACAGCAAAACATTGGTAGACTGCATCAGACAGTAAATGTTTGTTTATTCCCTAGAAATGTTTTATTTTTTTATTAACTTATAATACTTGATATGTGGCACATAATGTGTCCCAATGAAACACACACTCATTGTATTCAGTTAAAGAAAAAGCTTAATTTTTATGCACACTTAAAGAACAGCACATGCAGCCCATACAGATCATGCATGTACATAAAAAAATGCTGTGTGCATTTCTGTGCCTACACATAAGACCCAAATATAACCTCCGCGCCATGTCTGACATCAGTTAACCACTGAGCATAGCTTCAGCGCTCACCAAGTAGGGGGAATCTGACAGATCGTGCATGCTCTGGGTTTCAGATGGGTGAGCTGTTGAGCAGGAGGAGGTGCAGCACAGCTACCGCAGAGCTGTTACTGGGCAATTTCTCAGTGCAGATGGAACTGTTATTGGGAGACTACAAAGCCACTGTGGTTCAATGGAGTATTCACTTAGTTTCTGGAAACACAGGAAACAACTGTTTTGCTGATATGGAGTAGCTGAATAACCACAGTACAGACTGACAGAAAATTAAAAATGTAGTTTAGCATTTCATTCTTGATAAATTACCATTATTACATCAATTAGGGAAAAAAATTCACATTGACTGCAGCTTTTCAAATGTGCACTCTTGGCTGTTTTTCTGTTTTGGAGAATTATACATTTCTTTGGGTGTTGCACTGACATCACCTTCAACTGATGGAACTTTTTAAAAACTTCTGACAATGCATAGACATCATAATCAATAGATCCTCTATAACTGTTACTTGCAATACTAGTTGTGGTGAAAGAACTTCTTGTTGGGCAAGACTGCAACACAAAAAATGTGTATATTGAGAATGAGTTACCGTCACTGTCCAATGGAAACTAAGCATCTCTAAATATAATGACTTTGGATTTTCTGAAAAACCAAAAGGACTAGACAAAGGATAGCAACTATGTTTAAAGGAAAGTGTTTTATATGTTATATGCACAAATACAGGATGTGCTGTTAAAAATCATTTAATGTTCCATGTGATTGTAGTGCCAGAGTTAAGCTCTGAAAAGACACGAGCAAGGAACACCAATGAGAGGCCCTGCAACCTAATTTCCGGCCTTGCAATCACTTGCTACCACTTTTCTGTCACTTGTGAGCAAGAAAGTTATCCAGCTCATTTCAGACCAATGCAGCACAGTGTGTGTGTGTGTGTGTGTGTGTGTGTGTGTGTGTGTGTGTGCGTGTGCGTGTGCGTGTGTGTGTGTGCTGCAGCACAAACTTTTAATGGGCAGCAGAGGCCGAGAACTGCCCATGCTGTCCATTTCAATTAGACAAAACCGCTGACTGCTCCTGCACACACACAGTCATCTTTTTTTCTTCCTCTGGCACACATTCAAAGGCACTGCATACAATCAGCCATGCATTTCTGCCTAAAATGTTACACCCCATTTCATTAGGCATGACAAATGACTTCCTTGGTGTTGCTGATCCCCTACTCTGCGCTGTTCTCAGAGTCAAATAGAGAAAATGAAAATGTGGTGGAACAACAATCCTATTAACAAGTCAACTGTGATTTCAGTTTTACATTATTAAACCATCTTTAATAGAGCAGTTCTTTTAACATATCTCATATAAAGTGTTTCACTGAGCAATAATATTTAGAAGAATACACATCCCGAACAGTACATTATAGAGCAAGAGAAGCATCATTGGTCTGTTGGATACAGCTGGAGCTGGCAGAGTGAATGAAGAGGCGCCAACACTAACATTACAGAGTTCTGCTCTGTCCTACCAAAGACTGACATACTGTAGCATATATACAGCTGAAGGTCAAATAATAAGCCTGATTTCACTTCTCGTCTGGCCTTTTGCTGTGAAACATGGTTAATACAGATATTAAAGTGCTGTTTTTAGCGTTTCACAAAGGGTCACAAAGTTACCACTGTATTCCTCTACAGAATATGGCAAAAATAACCATACAAACCTTTCTTAAAATATATAAACACCCATAATGCCTTGGGCAGGCACACTAGGGAAGCCTTTCAGGACACACTGTGCTGTGTCAGCATGCTTTAGTCACTTGAATGATGGCCTGGAGTCCAGCGACATGCATTAATGATTGATGATACTCTTCAGAGCTGCAGTCCTAATGAGTTCATTGCATTAACCGATTATTTAAATTCTTGAGACCTGTGTAAGGAGAATACCTTTGATGCTACTGGTGTTGTTGCTTTATACGCAAACCAGCTTTCTCTGTCACTCACATGCTGCCTCCTGTCTCTGTTATGTCTTTGGTGTGACAAAGTCCCAGGCAGTGTCTTGGGCGCACTTCCATACGGCACGGACCAGCCGAGTGAAGCCCATGTCCTTGGGTTTCTCCAACCCACGCATCAGTCGCTGCTTCATAATGGCTATGAACTCCTTATTACTAAGCTCTCCATTCCCTAAAGACAGACAGAGAGGAGGGGACAAAGGACGGGAGAGAGATGATGAAATAATGGAGGAAGAGTCAGCAAGAGGATGAAATGATGTCCATTTATCGACGAATTCCGCATGTCAGCAGAGGAATAACTGCTTTCCATAAGTATTTTGCCAGGGAGCAATACAGACAGGTGACAAATGACAGGAAAAACCTTTCCATATGGCACGAGGGGTGACTGAATCATCTGATGAGTATGAAAATGATGTGAATCATTAGCTGTTCTGGTGGCCCAATGCCTTACTAAGACACTTGTTGGTTTTCCTTTCATTTGTCACCTGTCTGTATGATGAATCTATCAGCTACTTACCATCACAGTCGAACAGAGCGAACACCACATCACACACGTGATCTGACAGCTCCACCTTGGCCACAGTGCGAGCCACCTGCTTCATGGTAACTAGGAAACAGAGAGAGAGGGAACCACATATAGAGGACCGACCATTTGTGGAAGAGCCAAACAGAGGTGTGAGCGGACATGACTCACATGAGCCATCGCGTAAATGGCCCATGTGGAGGACATTGTGTGCAAGTCATACTGCTTTGAATCAACAACAGGCAGGGTTCCCGTCCACCGGGGAGACTATCTGATAGACACAAGAAAGAGAAAGAGAGAGGCTGAGAGGAGGAGCAGACAGCATCGCAGCATCTAGCTGAGAGGAAAAGATGGAAGGTGGGAGAGGATGGAGATGTACAGAGTAAGAGAGAGAAAATCCTCACAGTCACTTCAGAAAAAAATGTTGAGTCTCCTCAATCTGAACCAGAATCATTGATTTTGAGGCTTCAAAGTCACACTGGTGAAGGAGGGAGGGTAAAGAGAAACAGACGACTGGGATGAAAAGAACAATGTGTATAAAAAAAATCTCCCTGCAGATGGCAAATAAAAAAAAGACCAGCATCACTCCACCAAGAATCTCATTAGTGGTCTTATTTTTCACCTTTAACAAAGACAATGTGCGTTTGCATCATGACATACCCACATATGAGAAACTGTATTAAAAGGGTGTGATATCATCTGATTTGAGAGTTATATGAAAAATGACAAAGGGGAAAAACAAATATGTAAAAGAAGAGAGAAATTCAAGAGCTCTTTTAGGCTTGAAGAGTAGGGAGAAGGTTTCAATAATCTGCCTGGCAGCTCTCCACTAATCCACAGCCTAATGTTTTCACTACCCCTCTACAACATACTTCAAGCACACTACATTCTGACACACGCATGGCTTGTTACTGTTTAGACGTCCAGCTGAAACCAATGGATACACACACTTTAGGGTAGACTGCACTTCCTTAAAGCAGCAGCTGTTTCATCAGTGAATTAAAAAATAACTGATGTGCCCATATGAAACATATGGAGGTGTATTGAAGAGCTGAATAATAAATGAATGAAGGAAACAGGTCCTCACTGTCTGTGCCACTCTCACATTAAACTCACTTTCATTGTTTGGCAGACGCTGTTCGCACAAACGAATGGATTCGGGAGAAATTAATGTGCTGAGGAAGATAAATGAAATAGGACTAATTTAATGACTGATTTTATGCTGTTATTAGCCTTTTTGAATAACCAATGTAGACACATTCTTCAGGAGTGAGAATGCAGACTGTGGTTCACCCACAGTCAACTCACCACCTGATATTTAAAGTAAAGTAAAAAGGTTTTCATGAAATTAACTCCCATTTATACTCAGCATTTTTCTGCACCAAACATACAATTCATTTACATCCACAATTACCTCTAATATAGTTTTGTTCATTGTTAGTTGTACAGTCCGCTATTACTACACCAGATTCAAATGGCCTTTACTGTTCGCTCTCTTTATTGTGAAGTACTGCTAATGCAAATGGAACATCCAACTGTCTCTGCTTCACATCTGAAAGATTTCAACTGGCAATACAAGCAGTAGCTTTTATTATGAAAATGCCACAGGAAATCCAGTGTATTTATCAAAGCATTTAGTGCTGATAGCAATCGTTCATCAGAAATACATGTGCAAACCAAGACAAAGGTTTCCATTTTCAGCTTCTTTGTCCCCAGTTCATCAGTTAAATTTTTGCACAGGAGTAATGAAACAAGACAGAGTGAGTAATTAGATGAAAAGATAGATGCGGGTGACACAGGCTGCACACCTCCAACTCTTCAGGAGGTAACCAACTATACAGTTTCCTGCTGTTGTGTGGGAAAACTACTGCTGTAGTGCATGCAGCATGATGATCAATCACATTAGATCAGGCCAAAAATTGACCGATTCTTCATAAAGTCAAGTTTTGTTTAGCCCCACTGTAAACACACACAACACACTAGCAGCTCTTCTGGTGTACTTCCGACAAAGCAGCTGGTCAGTGAAAATTTGCTGTAGTATTATACTGCACTTCCTGTTACAATGGTAACCACAAGTGTCACCGATTCAGACAAGACTGAATCTTAAGATAAGAATACTTAACTTATGATGCTTCTAACTGTTACTCACCAACCCTCAAGTCACCAATAGGGATCTAAATCATGCTCACAAAACAATTTATCGTGCAGCCCTAGTCACCACCTCACAGAACTACACTCACCTTGTGATTAAGAGGAAAAGAGCAACCCTCCCTCCCCTAGTCATGAAGATAGCATGTGTCAGTGGGCATCAATAGCCTGCTCTGTCATGTGTGCATGTTTGTGCTCCTTGCATTTGTCCATGCACTCTCCTGCATGCCTGGAGTAAGAAGTGTTAGACAAATGGATGGATGGACAAACAGATGAGAAATAGCTGAGCTAGGATTAGGAGCAAGGCCAGGCAAAGGGAGATGTGTGAAGCTGAGCTGGCAAAGAATGAAAGTGACAGTTAAGTTTAAAGGCGAATAATAGGAAAGAAAAAGGAGCATGTCAGATTAAAATGGCAAATGTGGCTGTACCTTTATCTATGGAGGCTCCAGCCATGTGGTAGAAACTCAGTGCTGTATCAACGTCGTTCACGTTCTTCAGGAAAGTAAAGAAATTCTCCAACTCCTCAAATGTGATGCCCTGCACAAGACAATGTGTATGTGTATATATATATACACATATACACATACATACATACATACATACATAAACCCCAAACACACACACCCACCACACAAGGAAAAAAAAAAAAAAAAAAAAAAGTCTGGGTGAGAAATTTATGGACAGATAACAGCATATCATTCCTACAGTTTTATCTGCAATCCTGTGAAAAAGTTTCCAAATACTGTGATGGCAAGAGCAGCAACTGTTCAATACCATTTTGAGAGTGGCTCAGCAGTGTGACACAAATGACAAGAGTAGGTGGGCAGGAGCAGTTGACACACATGGATGAACAGTGTGCTGTGGATGCACAGGGGAACAGACGGTCTAAGACATGCATGGCCAAGTACCCCTACACACAGACACACATCTGCCATACTGCTGATAGGCTCATTTGCAAGGAAAAGTGCACAGCTGGTCTCAGGCAATAAATAACACTTTTCTCATTTACATTACAGGTTATGCCAATGCAGAGAGACAGACAGCAGGATGGATAAACTGTGAGAGTGGGAAAGACAGAGAGAGAGGTTTACTGCAGTTTATTTCCTTCGAGAGACAACTCTGGCAGCACCCAGCCTCATCTTCTCATGCCTGGGAGGAACGGCAGCTTCCCTGCTTTCTGTTTTTTCTCTGCTAATCACTGCATTTAACCTTCAAACTTGCCTTATCACTGCTCAGTCTGACATCTGTGGTGCCTTAATGTATACAAACAAGCTACTTTAATAAAAAAAATTTAAAAAATTAGAAAAATAGAAACAGAACATACACACCTCTGGGGATATGATGACTGACTGACGGGGATCATTACAGTGAAGCAGAAAAAGCATGAAGTTCAAGCATAATGCTGGAAATAGGAAAGTGATAGGCTCATATTGTACTGAAGATGACTTCAAGTGCTCTACTTCTTGAATATTTTACATTTTACCCTGTGTGGTATGTCCCAATGGGGCTATTTGACTTCTTAAAGCAATGTGACTATGTTTAGTGAAAAAAAATGGCTGTGTGAAGGAAAAGGAAAACTCGCTCATCGATTGAAAGCCTTGCATGGTGACACTCAGTCAGAAGTAAACCGGAATGAATAAGGAATTGTCAATTGATAGAATAGAAAATGAGGAAGAGGACAAAACCTGCAACAAACAGCGCGCAAGGCTATGAAGACTGATGGACAAAGAGCGTAGAGTAGCTCAAAGAGAGATGCCCTACTGAGGTGCCCTACTGCTGAGCACCAGCCGCTCTGCATTGGTCACCACAAACAGAGATAGTGGAAGGCGGAGGAGTTGGAGACAGTGAATGTCAATCAGGTGGATAACAGCACACTCCGAATGTGAAGTCCTGTCTCAGTGATTTATTACCTCTCACCCCGCCACTCTCACACTGTCCCAGGACAATCTCCTTTTCCCTCAGACACACACCGTCTGTCATGCATCCTTTTATGTAGGACAATTAGTTTAAACACCACTACATCTAGCGCCATATACACACACACACAGAGTATAACTCACTCATCCCGGAGTTCTATGCAAGCTTGAATAAGAACACAGAGAGTTATCTACCTGTGCATCCTTAAACATCTTCTTCAAGCCCTTCTGCATGTGCTTGAGTTTGCGAGACTGGACGCCGCTGTAGGCCAGCAGCATACCCCCAAACTGTCGCTCAGTGATTCTGCCATCCACAGGATCATTCCTCTCAAACTGAGGGGGGAGAAATGTGAGTGACAGGTGAAGATTGAGTGCTAAACAGAGGGACAAACAACAGTAGGAGTGGGGCTTCAAGTTTAATCCCACCTGGAGTTGGTGCTAGTGACATTAAATCTTCAAAACTTTTTTGCCCCCACTGGAGCATAGTGTAACAGCAGTGGCCCTTGGCAGTGTCAGGTCAATCCAGTCGATTTATAGCTGAGGCTGCTTGGCAGTCACACAACTCTATGCCTCCGTTCTCTTGGAGCATGCAGGCTTCTCAAAACATTAATTTGTTGCAATTCTGAGAGGCAGCTCATTACTAAACCCAAATAAGCCTTGAGTGAATATTTCAGGAATGACCTGCCCATTCATGCACCTATGGAGCATTTACCTTTTTTGAAGTCTCTGGTTATTACAACAGTTCTATGGTTATGCATGATATACAGCTTTTTAGTAAAGACAATCTCTACATTCAGAGCACCTAACATCACAGCAATTACAGGAAGAGGGCAAACACATAAGACTGTCCATTGTTAAAACAATGCCAGCTTTATTTGTGGCGTTATGATTTTCCTCTCTCAACACTGTGGTGTCATTAAGAGCCACAGATGGCGTTTTCATTCTGGCAGATGCTCTGACTCGAGTCTTATTCTTGGAGCTTCATATGAAGGTGCCCATTAAAGTTCAGTGTTTCAGTCAGGCACTACCCACGCTAATTAAAAGCATAACCATATGCTCAACACTCAACTCTGGCCATTTGCTGTAACAGAATCAGGGGATGGGGTCTTGTGTAACTCAGGAGACCAAAGGAGGCTTTTATACGCAACTGTCACAGCTTTGAGAGACTGACAGTGACCAGCACTGACAGACAATTCACACATCTTCATCCTCAGCCCTCATTTTCCTTTGTATAGTGTGTCATGCTCATGCCACTCCCTCCTTGCATCTCCTATGCGTTTACATTTTTTTATTTGTTTACTCTGAGTGTAAGTTGGAAAGATTTACTTCCTTTGACTTAGAAAGCTGTTCATTTTTATGTGCAGTCTCTGAATAGATGCAGAGGAGACTAAGATTCATATTAATTCAGTACAACTACACAGCAGTAGAGAGCAGTGAAGCAGATGAATGTTCAAAACCCAACACTCATTCACTTTCTTCTGTCATTACCTCTAGCTTGAGCACATCATGCTGCAGTTTCCTCTGAAACTCCAGAAAGCTGCCAATGGTAAGTTTTCCCTTCAGGTCTTCTCCAAAGAAGTAGGTAGTGAGAGCAGAGCTGCAGCCGCCCGTCTTCAGGGTGTTTCCTGTGGTGGAGCGGTCACGGTGTCGCATGCCCATACTGGTCTGGGAACGAATGATACTCTGGACCTAAGGATGTATAGATGGGCCATGTCAGTCGGAATGAAGGTGTAAACTGGGGTTTAAAAGTAATTATGACTATTTGCTTACTGGACTACTGTTAATCCATTAAAGATTCATAGAAATTGTTCTAAAAATGATCAGACAAGTTCCTAAAACAAAAGCTTATGTGTACGATTAGCTTAATTTAAAATTTACATTCAAAAAAGTGCTTTCATTTATTCTCTTACATAATGAGGTGTAACTCTAAAAACTACTATCTGAATAATACTGTGTCAGCTCCAGTGGTATAGATAGCGATACATCACAAACTTCAGCGTAGCAGTCTTTTCCTGAGAAAACGCCACAGCGGCGCACATCAGTGCACGTGAGTGCAGGAACAGGTCAGGTTACATTACTGAGTACTGTAGCACAATCTGGAGCTACTGTAGATATGAAAGCACAGTCTAAATGTGCAGTGCTGGCCTCCTTAACATGTTAATTCTGTGCATGTACAGTGAGGAACAGAAGTATTTGAACACCCTGCAATTTGCAAACAGCAAGAATTCTGGCTCTCAAAGACCTGTTACTGTGCCTTGAAAAAGTCCACCTCTACTCCACTCATTAATCTAAATTAGTAGCACCTGTCTGAGCTCTTTAAAGACACCTGTCCACCCCACAGTCAGTCAGACGCCAACTATTACCATGGGCAAGACCAAAGAGCTGTCAAAAGACACCAGAGACAAAATTGTGGACCTCCACAAGGCTGGAAAGGGCTACGGGGCAATTGCCAAGCAGCTTGGTGAAAATAGATCAACTGTTGGAGCAATTGTTAGAAAATGGAAG